TCCAGTTTTTTACTTGATTAAAAGTCACAATCTTTTCTGGTTACTTCCTGGTAACATGACTTGTCAAAATAAATTATAATGGCAGAAATAAGAATAAAGATAAAGCTGATTTACTGACAAAACACTAAAAAAAAAAACCACGAGATGAAAAAAAACAACAAAAAAAGACACAGACAAACAAATACCTTCTCAAACAAACTGGAACCTTGGTTCCACAACAGAAATCTTCATTTTTAAGGCATAGTGAGAGTTGAGTTTTCAGTATGCTCTCAGTCAAAAATAATATTAAGTTTGGATTGTATTTTTCAGTTATTTTAGTTAAGATGCCATAAAAACTGCAAAAAAAAAAATGGTCTAAGATAGTTAAAATATATAATTACTCTTGTTGGTGATATAGTACAATTTATAGTACTTTTTTTAGATTATTGTAAATTATTGTTCAGGGGAATGTAAGAGGCAAATAAAATCTAGCAGTAACTGTTGAAATTAAACAATTACTGCAGGCTGGTTCTTAAAGGAAAACTGTAATGTAATATAAAATCATTTTCAGTCATTACATTTAATTAAACTGGAAAGGTAAACCAGGCATTAAGTACCAGGCAGTGAATATCCTGAACTTTTGAATGCAAAAAAAAGTTGAGTGCATTTAGCACATTATAGGCTCATGGCTGAGCCAATAAATAGTTCAGGAAATTTAATTTTTAAAAAAGTTCATAAACAAAACAGGAAGGTAAAATAAATGTTACAGTCTAAATACAGATCCTGCAAAATGTACCCTTGCACTTAACTTCAACTCCCAGCTTTATTGTATACAGTAGATAAAGTCAAGCATGCATACAAGTCATTGCAAGATCTGGGTCTAATTAGACGGGATACCTTGAGTAAGTGCTACTTAAACGTATAGCGGGGTAGCCATGTGAACTGTCTAGAATTAGGATCTAAGTACCATGAACACTCAAACATAGTGAAACAGTGACAGGGATTTCCAAAATGCTCTGAAGCTCATTTTTAATGTAGAAGAAATTATGTACCAAATATTTCATTAAGCTTCTACAGTAATACTACCAAAAAATCACTTACAGTGTTCATCTACATATTGGAACAAAAATACCCTTCCAGTACAACAATGCTATGCTTGTAGTGCTAATGCCCGTACTTCCCTCCCGGAGCAGAAAAAAACCCCACTAATTCATTTCAAATCAGAATGTTCCAACAGAATGCATGAATGTTTGGCTTTTGACCAATATTTAATCTTTGCGTGTACCTTTTCTGTATTATAACATAGCTGCACTCCAAATGTATTGTACTTTAGAAGGGTGGGGGGTGGAGGAGTGAACAGGAGTAGCAGTTTATTACAGACAAGGAAAGAAACCAAATGACTTTTTCTATGAACTCTAGATGATCCTTACTTATCTAAGAAAACTGCAGTAAAACCAGAAAGTCACAGAGGACTTGGTTTTTTTTCTGAGGCCCTATATTTTAAAATTGGTTGAATCCTGTTTCCAACACTATCAAGATCACTTTTGTTTCTGTCTTCAAAAGAGTAGCACAGGCTCAACATAGTGGAAATCAATGGAAATGGAAACTGTAAAATATAAATAAAATATTAGCAGTTCTCATGGCACGAAGACTTTTGGAACATGACACACTAACCAAGCCACTTTGCTCCACAGAGATTTCATCATTTTATAGGCAAGTGAAAGTCACAGTGAATACAAGAAGTTTGTTACTGCTGGTCCAAGAACTGATTGTGACAGATTTTCAAGAAGCCACTGTTGAAGAACTGCACATATATATCCATAAAATTCTCTAGGCTTAGTTCATTCTTAAAATTGATTTCCAAGATTTTGGAGACACAGTATGTGTTAAATATCAAATCTTCTATTGCAGGAATAGTTGCATATCTAGCCTTCTCTCTCCCTGCTATCAGACAGTTGCCCTCTTTGCATTCCTTTCTAAACTATCTTCATTATTCCTCAACAGTTTAAATTCAGAAACTATGACTCAGTATAGAAGGTGGTAGAGCTGCTACTTAGTGGGTATGTCTTTAAGAGAAAAAACAATGGTTCAGTAAGGTTGATAAATAATGTAATGTAGTAGACAAACTGGCAAATGAACTTAGGTTGCACTAGCCTAATGACTGCATGTTTTTATTTCACAAAATTGTCAATAAATTCTCCCCAGCCTCCAAAATCTTGGGTTTGGAGAATGACTCGGTGCATTCCCAAGTGGAATACAGCAAACCAGCTATTCCTATGAAATTTGTGGCCTTCTAATAACGTATTTACTACTACCAGTTCTGTCTATACTTTGTGTAAGCAGCAGGATGCAAGTGGTAGCTGTGAAACATTTTTTTGCCCTCTCTACAATATGTATCCCAATCTGCAATCTAAACAAACTATTTTACCCATACATTCCTAGATACTTTCTCTTAGATCCTAAACCAACTCAAAATACATGGTCTTTACTTAATGGTCACTTACTTAATTTTTTCTAATCTGTTTCCAAAGGACAAACAGACATCGTGTCTTTGTTTCAATTACTGCTGAGATCTGGCTCAAATTGAGCTATATAGATAGTCACCCATACAGGCAAAACCGAAAGGGCAGTTAGGAAAGAAAAATGTCGTCAGAACCTCCCACAGGAAAGAGAGGAAAAAGTCCTTTCTTCATAAAAGCCAGAAAGTACATGGAGAGTTAGTTACAAAACCCCCAAGCGACCCCAGCAATTTTAACAATGTCTCTTTGATGCATACCCTGTTCTTTCCATCAATGAAACATAAGGACTGTATGTGCCAATACCACAACAATTTTCAAAAGGTATACATACACTTATTTATTGTCATATCAGCCTGGCTCCTTAGAATGGTCTATAAACACTGTAAGGAAAGATGCCTGCAGAAATGAATTGGGGAAAAATTATCTCAGGAAGTGTCCTTCTGCAGAAACAGTATTTGTATTTCAGAAATCATTCAAAAAGAAGCCCTGGACAAACCAACTGTCTTTTATCTAGGAGTAAAGGAAGACTTCATAGAAAATGTTTTCATATTTTAAGAGTATTTTCTGTCTTAACATAAAATCTAATGCGAAGAACACTAGATCAGGTGATTGCTGTTTCTGTTTGGGCTCTAAACAGTAAAGAGAATATTTTCACAGATCTGCAACATTTCTGGGTAAAACTTTACACCTCATAAATAAATTGCTAGAACTACTTGCAAAACCAACTGCATGTTGCCTAATAAGTTTGCATGTGTAAAGTGTGATTTATTGTAGACACAGTTCAAACAGACTCAGTGAAAATTTTTCCTTATGAGTACTATTAATATCAAAAATAATTTATAGGCATTTCATAGTAGAACAGTTTATAAATACATTCAACCAGGTTGTTCTCTTTCCTTCCACTCTGCTCCCTTTGGGATATTTTAGTAAGACAAAAGAAATAGAAAGCTAACAGAAGATAATGGAAAGTTATAGAGAATATTCCTTACTTTGTGCAAGCATAAAGCCATATCAACCATTGTCACAGTTGTATAATAATTCTTCTGTTCATTCAACAAAATTTTTGAATGCAAAAATTAATTTTCTGGTGAGAAAGTTTACCCAAAAGCTGTGCCCTCCTCACCCCAATATAGAAAATATTTGTCTAGCTCAGGATTTTTAAGATTAAACTGATTACTTATGTGTTTTTGAAAAGTTTGCTTTGAAAAGGTGCCAAATGCTTTTAACTTATCTCTGCAACAAATAAAGAAATAGGATGAAACTACAGATTTGGACAACTTCGAGTTTCCTTTTAAGAGTTCATTTTGCCCAGCCTGAGCTCCTGGGAAGGTTCTGCTTTTCAGAACAGCTCTTCCTTAAGCACTCAACACCTTCTAGATACCTTATGTTGAGGACTCAGAAGTCGTAAGTCACTGCAAAAATACAGGCCAGGACCTGATTGTGGAAAAGTTTATCTCCAAAAAATGCAAAAAGAGACTCAGAGGTAATAATGTTCTAGTTATAGCTGTGGTGATTTTAACGTAGGAAATACTAACATAAAAATGGTGTAGCAACAGTTCATTTTAGCATTCTGGTTTTAACTCTGAATATTATTTACATAATTTCACACTTTTAATTTCAGATGACCAACAAATCTGTATAACATGCATTCAGAACTACTATATGTAAGTATAGCTATATAGCTCTTCATGCCTGTACATTTTTCTAAAGCAACAATATGGGTTTCACTATATAGATCCGTACGTTTTCACATTTCTTTTAAATATTGACTACCTGAGAACAGTAACTTTGGAAATTGGTAACTTTGGGTTTGGGAAATGCTGAAAAACTAGCCGGTCGCTCACCATCAAGGCCTTTTAAACCTTATGGACTGATGTCAACTTTGCATATATGAAGACAGGAGTATGGAACAGAAAGGGTCTAAAAGTTGACCAGTGCCTCTGGATTTGGAACTACTATGCTCTTAGTATATCATGTCCAGTTTTGTAAAAATACAAAGAAATTAAGCAAAGGAAAAAATACATAAATTAATTGGAAGTTTAACTTAAATGTAGGAAAAAGAACTCCTCTACTGCTTTTCAAAGAGACAGTTAAGAGATCTCTGTGAAAATTACCATGACAAAAGAAAATGTTGATAAAAAGGCTATTCAATCTAGCTATAAGCAATGACATTGGATTACATATTTTTACAAGCGATCAGCTCTTTACAACCACAATACAGTTATTCCTAATTAAGCATGCATTCTTTTTTGTGCCTACATTTAAAAAAGCAAATCAAACTACTTATACTTAAGAACTCTGAGATTAGGAAACATGACTTGTTAAAATTTGCCGGTTCAATAAGTAACAGAACCACAAATACACTTTGAATCCATTGTTAGAGGAATAATTTCTGTTCGTTAGGATGAGAACAGAGCTTTACCATTACCGTACCTAGAAACATATATGAAACAAGCTCAACTCAAAAGAAACTTGCTAATGATGTTCTTCTTTATCTTGCAGGTATAAGCAGCACTGCTATAAATACTGCCCAGAAAATACCTACAGAGATGAAAGTTCTCTGCAGTGTAGAGAGTGTCCTAGCAACTGTGACAGCTGTGACAAGGAGAAGTGTGACTCTTGTAAGGAAGGCTTTTATCTCTCAGGTAAGCAAAGTACCAAGCATGGCATATAAAGGAAAGTATTTTAGACTTGTTCTCTAGAGAAAGAGAGTGGACTCAACTTCTCAAATTCATACATCTTTTCTACAGCAGGCAGTGGAGGCTGAGAGGAGTTAGCACTTTGCAGAATCCGGTCATTTGCATTAGCATAAGATGGTTATGTTAGCCAATGGTGCTCTTTGGTTCAAAGGCTCCGTATATTTGACTACAAAATCCCAGGGTTTTTTTTCTACTTTCATTTTTAATGCATTTCCACTCTTTTTGGCAAGTACAAAATATACTGTATTTGATTCAGACTTTGTGAAAGAAGGGGGTTTTAATTCAAAGAAGGACATGGAAACGTTTCCTTACTATTTGCAAGTCCAGTTTTACTTTGACTTTCGGGTCCATGTAAAGTAACAAGCCTTAAACACCCTGAAATGAGCTCAGTTAAAACCACTAAATGCCACACCAGATTCACACAAGACTAGGAATCTCTTAGCTTTATTACAAAACCATAAATCAGGCAGGTCCGGTTCAGACATGGGGCCAAATATGAATCACGGGAAATCTTGGACATTGCCCAGAAGTGGAGTACAAAATCATCACACTCATGGATAACTCTGTGGTCACAACCTGAGGTCATCTGGTGGTCTACACTTTTTTAATTAAAACTTGAGGAAGCTCAAAAATCTATCAGTGTTAGACCTTCTGGGGGCTTTGCCGCCATATGCCAACCCTTAAACTGGATTAGATTTACCTAAGGTTAGCTTTACATACACCAGAAACTAGAGATTCATTCAGTCCTCAGAATTTGCATATATCTAACAATCTTAGAGAAATCTGGACTTAGAATTTATGTTGGGCCAGTACAAAAATTGGGACACAACCATAAAATGTTTATCCAGATTTGGACTTTGGAAAGATTTGTATGTAGCAGTATTTAGGGTATGGATGAAAACCCATCTAGATATAAATTTAAGTGCTGATCGGTTTGGTTTGTGAAGTTTACATAAGCAACTGACCTGAATTTAGGTTTCATGCTAAAAAATCGGTTTATATAGCTACAAAAAGTTTCACGTGTTCTTATATGCTGTTTTTTTCTTAAACTGTTTCTTGCTGGAGACAGAGAGATGCTACAGGTGGGGTACCTCCTTGTCAGGATTAAAAGGGGTCAGTAGAGACCAGGATGCCAGGCTCTGTTTCTGTTGCAGGTGGCACATGTGTGAGTGAGTGTGGAGATGGCTTCTTCACTGATGACGTTTCTAGGGAATGCGAACCTTGCCACAGGAGCTGTGCAACATGTGTTGGGTACAGCTATGAGAACTGTACTGGGTGTAAAAACAGTTTCCACCTATCTCATGGGAAGTGTCTGAATCCAAGAAATTATTCACCCGATGGGAAGTTCTGGAGTGGTAAGTTGCAATGGATTCCTTAATCTTTTCTGTTTCTCTGAAGACTACTAGAAGTTTTAGGAAGAGGATATCAAGATCTTGCAGATTGTGTGAAACTGCACTTTTGTCAAACTCATGATTTTAAAAATATACTGACCAAAAACATTGGTTTCACAGAGTGAAATTCATCTTCCTAAAAATAGCCTAACATTTTAATTCAACTTAGGTGTTCCTTATCTGGGAGTTATTTTACTTGGATAGATAAAAGATTAAAAAATAAAAGACAAAAAGATAACAAAAGATTAAAACGATAAAATATAGGTAATAGATTAAGGTACTGGGAGTTCTTTATCTAAAGTATTGGAAGCCTTATAGGCTATGTTTTAGACAAGCTTTGTGGCTATTGATTCCCCACACAGAAGTGAATGTAAGTTGTAGCAAATGGAAAATAATAACATGTGTGTGTGGTGTGTGTTTAAAAGCAAGATTTCTTCTTTTCTCTTCACCCCACATTGTAGGCATGCGCCGCTGCCTAAGCAATCAAACACAGAACACAAGATGTAGAACTACATTCTGCAGTTCTTGTGCTACCTTGGCCATTTCCACAGCCTTCACAAAATAATCAGTTCTTTCTTGCTTCCCTGATCTATAGCATGGGAAAAAAAATTATCTGTTAAAAAAAAAAAAAAAAAAGGAATTGGATGGAAAATGCTTTTAAAATTTGAAGTTGTTGAAGGGAATGATAATTAGTTATTTTCCTTCATAAACATCTTCAAATGCATCCCAGTAGTGTCACAAATTTCTTGTTAAGAAAGTGTTAAGTGAAAAGTGCATAACAATGTTTGTCATTCCCATTATGGCAGTTATATAAAGTACAATTGAATCCGTTATGCTACCGAATGAGCCAGTGCTAATAGTGAATTTATCACCCAGCACACAAATTAAAACTCATTTGTTATGAGTATTCATTCTTTTTAAGTGAAACCTGTGCAGCACATTGAATCTCAACAGTCAGGACTGCAAGTGGCACTTTTTAATTATATGTAAGCCATACCCTCCAAAGAGGGTAAAATTTCCTCTAGAGTTTCAATAGCTGCTTTGCTGACCACTGTAACCAAAGAGAAAAGTCACTGTCATATAATCCTTTCACTCTCTTTATAGTTGTAAAACATCAGCTGGAATAACACATTCAGTTTTGGGCACAGTGTTTAAAGAAAGAAGTGGGCCTGTTAGAGAGGAAACAGTGAGGATTACCAGAAATCTAGGGAAAAAATTATTCACAATGAAAGGTTCAGATAAATGAGGTGCTTGGGACTAAATGAGAAAGCTAAGAGGAACACAATCACAAAGAACAATGGAATAGATTGGGTCACTGTAAATGTGGTAAACAGGACTTAAAATCCAGAAAAGGCGTTTTAGATTTGGCATGAGAAAAAAAAAAAGGGGACTTTCAATTGGAATAATGGAATAATAGTAGAATATTTGAGGAGGTTTGGGGATTTCCGTCACTAGGGTACTCTAAGAACACATGAAAAGGATCTGACAGGGATGTTTACTGAGTGGAGCAAGAGACTAGATTACTTAAGGGCCCTTCCAGTTTTATTTTCTATCTAATACATATTTTCTTCTGAATCCTATGTCTTTATTTGACTCAAACACATCAAAGAATTACAATCCTTAGATCTATATGACCTTGCATTAAAAATTGAAATATAGTAACAAATATTTTCAGAAAAAATATTGACCATTTCTATTCATTACCTATCTGTGGAGAAATGTTGTATCAAAAGGAATAACATTTCTTCACTTCAGAAAAAAGATCAGAGAGACCTAAAAAGGAGAAATATTAATAGAAAGATGGTGTGCACCATGCATTTCCTTGTGTTTCATCCATATGAGTAAATATTTTTTCAATTTGAGATTGTCTACCTCAGCGCCGTGGAAAGATTGGTTGTCCATTTCTCGTGCTGTCAAACAAGGTGACTCATTGTCAGCTTTTTTCTTTTGAGGAGACAGCTGATGCAGTTCTGTATATATCAGCATTGCTGTGTTGAGAAACCTCTTTCTTGAATACAGTTTCTCTTTCCTTCTGGTGGTTAAAATACATCTTACTTAGGGGCATTTCAGACTGTAAGATACATCTGTCTCGTAGCTGTACTGGCTTGAACATTAATGACTGCTCCAAAGTCACAGGATTCTTGCTGCAGCTGGTGAGGGGAGCCCAGGGAACCTGGCTGGAGGCTCTTCACCTTCTCTTGGATAGACCTGCTGGGATTCCTGCAGTGCAGCAGCAGCTCTGCCATGTAACTGCTGAGAAAGCGATGTTGAACTTGGTGATATCTTGAGCCTTTTCTCACCAGGGTGGGCTTCCAACTAGTAGTAACCTTCAAGTCAAAATGTTAAGGAAGTTGTCACTGTCTTCACTGAAGTTACAGTCTGAATAACTACATTTATCAACAGTTTGTGAGGTTTCTTGCTGAGACACTGTGGGATCACCTGGTTCTCATAACAGTAATTTTCATTTGTTAATTAAAAACAAAATCTAAATTTTTTGGCTAGAATGTCACTCTTTCACTCATTTCTTTTGATGATGCATTCAAGAGGCAGATATCAGCTGAGTCCAGATTTCCAACTGTGCAATCTATATTAGAAGTTCTCGTTCCATGCTGAAGATCCTTAATAAAAAATAAAGGATTCAGGCATGACCAAACCACATTTAACTCTAGCAGTGCATCTCACCAATAGGGTGGTTCCTAGTTAGAGACTGCGGTACATTTCACACCTTGATAATGTTTAGAAATACATGGACAATTTTAAAAGAAAAAAAAAAAAAAAGAAAAAGAGTTTCATTATCTGTTATAACTGTTTTCTTTATTTTCAAAAGCTTTCTGAAAACCAATAAAATTTAGGAGAGGCAGTCACTGTCTTTTATTGATTTGTTCAACAATGCTGTGGGATTAGTACGAGAATGGACAAAACGAAAACTTGTCTGTGATGCTTGAAACTTACTGTCAGTGAGGATTCTGGCTGGCATACCTGTACAGAAAAGCTCCCCGGACCTGGAACAATGATCCTTCTCCAGATCTTCTTAAGCATTTCTGTAGAGCCTCCTCTTTTCCATTATATATTTTAAAGAAAGTGATGGAGACAGAGAAAATACTTTTTCTTTCATACACAAGTGCAAAGTCATGACACCTTTCCAAGTTTTTCACTGCTTCCTCTGGACATACCTCAAAATATTTTATCCCAGTTAACTTTTTTTGTTCTTTAGCTTGTTTACAGCTACTTTAATTTTCTCCATAGCAAAATATAAGGATCTTCAATCTCATGTGTTGTCAAACTCAGTTTCTAAGGGTAGAACACAGCATGGGCATGGTTCAAGAAGCTTGTCCGTTCTTCAGGGGATATTAGAATACTTTCATATTTGTTCACCAGCCCAGTGTGGGCAGAACTGTGGCTAACATTTGGCTTTTGGCTCTCATCCTCTCTGCCTGTTTATCAATATATGCTTCTTCCGCAGGGTGCTCGGTGTCCTCAATGCATTTACAGCACCATGGCAGAGCTGCCTCTGCCTGAATTAAAAAATCTAATTAAGGAATACAGGCCAGACAATTATTAGTCTTCCCACTTTGGGGGACTGAGCTGGGCGTGGGGGTCAAGTATGAAATAAATAACCTCGCCCCTGTCATGGGAGTGAAGATGAGGTCGCACCAAGCTCATTCTCAGCACATGCCCTGCCCCAGACAATGCAGGAAGACAACGCAACGAGGAAGATGATAGCCAAAATTTCCAAATGCGGCAGTTTACGTCAGCTTTTACCACATTAGTCTTCTATTTACTCTTTTTCTTTAGAAATGTTGCTAACAGAGAGTTGAGGTATTAGACCTTGAACTGTGTTTACAAATAATGAAGCCATTTCTTGTTGGCTCTTTCAGCCACATGGATTCAGTGGGCTCCACTGTGGTTTTAGTGACTGTGTTGGTGTATCATATGGGACAAAGTGAGTTTTGGGAAAATAAGACCATTATTTTGTTTGATTCCAAGGCTAACATAAATTAAAGGAGAGCACATCAGAGGCTGCCACAGAGAAACCAACATGCAGTCTGACTTTCTTTGCAGTTTGAGAGACTAGTCCATCTAGATGAAGATTAAAACCTTTGTGAATGTGGAATACACTTTTTTTTTCCATGTTTAAGTTTTCACTTCTATTTCTTATGCAAGGATAAATGACAGACCACTCATGAATTTTTATGAGCACACACTCCAACAACCAAAACATTATATAAAAAACAACTTTCTAAAATGATATTTACTTTTGGGGTATACTCTGCTGGGCAAATAGTTCAACTCATATCAGGAATCATTAATAAGTCATATCCAGGTCTGAAATATGAAACAGACCATGTCTGTTATCCAGGCTTTTAAAAGTGAGATCGAGCCCTGTATTTCTAGCGTGAAACATCTGTATTTTATCTCATGTACCAGATGATGAAATGACTTTGGAAGCCAGGAGACACACTAGTGTAAGCTTGATTCACCAAGTGAACACACACACCCTTTCAGCTGGATTAGACGTTTTGCAAGTTATGGTCAGGTCTTCTTTTTGCCTGTTCACTGTAAATACCGCACCCTACGAACTTGTGTTCCCCGGTTACACAGTTTAGTCTACCACATTCTTCTGAAAAGTTCAAAAGGAAAACAAAGGGTATGGAATGAGGTCTGTTTCTGATGCAAACTCAAAATGGAATATGTGCTTCTTTACATGCAGATAATATATGCTGTAGTAAATTACACAGCTAATAGCAGCTGGTTCTGTTTACTATTACATACCGCCCCCAATAATAATAACAGCAGCCTCCCCCAAGCAGCCATTGACCAACTGCATCCATCTTGCATATTTTTCTTTTCCTAAACACAGAGTAAAACAAAAACAGTAAAAATGTACTGTTTGAGAGAAAACAATAATTTAGTCTTTAAAAGGATTATTTAAAAGGACATTAATGCAGCTATGAAGATGCGCA